TTAAGCCTGGTGCTTTTCTTTTGAACAGTCTCTCAGAAGTGAGATTTTTCTGGATCTAGGGATATATATCTTTATTTTAATAACTATTCCTAGTTTCTTTTCCAAAAGACTATAGCAATTCCCATTTCCATCAGCAGAGTATAAGAATATTCTCTGCATGCCCACCATGAAGAGATTGTGCTCTCAGGGCTGTGGCCGTCTGGCAGGGTTTAGGCTATCTCCTTTTCTTCAATTTGTATTTCCTGGGTCTTAGTAAATTCCAGCATCTTTATTCTCTCCCGAATTGCCTCTGAATCCCCTTTGCCCATTTTTCCATTTAGTACTCTTCTCCCTAGAAGAGCTCTTTTCTCAGTAGCCCTCTATTCATCCCCTACGTAAGAAATAGATTTGGAAAAATATTTATAAACTATTAAAGGTTTATACAGCCTTTTTCCCAAAACAAGGGGTTTTGTTGTAGTTAACTTTATATAGTCATTGATTCTGGATATTAAATCTTGTTTAAAAATCTCTTAACTCCCAGAACATGTATATCTATATCTCTTAGATTTTCTTGCAGGCATTTAAAATTTGTTTTGTTATCTACATTTAATTCTTTAATCTGACATTAAGAAAAATGATCTAAGACTTGGGAATACAGGAAAAGAATGATTCTATGTCCTTTCAGTTATCCTAGGACATTATCTAGGAGGGCCATGAAAGGATTATGTCCATCTCTTTGCCCTTAGGACTAAGAAATGTTCTCTTTTTGATTTACTATTTACTATTAATTAGAACCCATACTCTGTGATTTTTTCATTAATTTCTATGTTTTTCTCCAGTCAAGAGGCAAATTATGTCTGATAAAGAAAGGAGTTCACATTGTAGTTTTATTTCCCTGTGAGCCATTAACCAGTTTGTCTTAGTAAGCTTGTTCTAGTCTGCCCTTCCTGACCAACTAGCTGAACTTTTGCTCTTCAAATTCTTTCTAAACCAGCTTTCCCATCTGCTGGAGCCCTCATAAATGCATCTTTGATTTCTGCTCAATGCATATTCATATGAGAATCATGTTTTGAATTTTTTAAAAATCATACTTTGACACTGAAATGCATTTGCTTGTATAACACCAGGGAGGTTTAATTTGATTTTCCTCCACATGAACACTCAGTGGTGCCAGCTCCCTTCATTAATTTATCCTTTCCTTCTCTCAATAACAATGCTTACTTTTTCCATGCCTCAAAAAAAACTTGGTATATATAGTAAGCATGCACCAAATATATTTTGGGTGAATATTGCATATTCACATGTAATGTAAAAAAATAAAAACAGCATCACCCTGAGGGGAAAGTTCTATGTATCAGGATTAACTGATGATATCACATCGAAAAAGATTAGTAATGAAGACAGATGGTCTGAATAGGTTGGGAAACAAGAAACAAGTGAGCTCAGAGATTTTTCAGGACTGTCATCTTTGCAAGGCAAACCAAGACCTAACTTTATGCAGTCAGTCCTATCTCTTGATTCTACTCAATCCTATCTCTTGATTCTTCCATTTTTCTAAGCTATGAATCTGTTATTTTACCAATACTATTAGCTTGCTTGCTGGAACTTTAATTTTCTTGTTCAAAAATTTTTCCTCTATTTATGTTTGTATGCTTCCAGTTAAATCTTAAGATTTTTTTCCAATTCTAAAAAGAAAATTTGGAATTTCATTAAGAATTTGTACAGTCATCTATTAATTTTTATAAAGTTGGTATTTTGTGATTGTAAGCCTTTCTATCCTAAAACATGGTGTGTCTCTCCATTTGTTCAACTCTTGCTTCATGTGATTCAATAATGTTTTCATGATTTTCTTTATACAGATCTTGTATCTTGTTATCTTTATTACTAAGGATTTCATAGATATTGAACATGGAACATTTTTTCCATTTCCATTTTTAGAATTTTTTTTTTGCCAGAACAGAAAAAGACTATTGATTTTTATAGAGATTTGATATTGCTATCTTGTATACAAATTCCTTACACAATTCCCATCATTTTTAATAGTTCATTTGATTTCACACTGGTTTGATCTTTCTCTGGCCCTGGAGTGCTTTCAGAGGGAGGAGGAAAAAAAAAAAAACACAAATCAACCGCTAGTTCACATGGCTTCTTTTCTCTGTAAGTATTTACTTCTGTTAGCAACCTACCCTTTAACACATTTTATTTTTTCTTCTTAATGCCTTAAAACTTGCTATAAATGTGTTTATTTTTATCGATGTTTAAGTTCTACTTGAGAGAGAAAGAAGAGCCCTCCAGGAATGTCATCCACAAGGAGGCTGTCTAAATATAAAAGTCTCTAGAGATACACCAGATCTTGAAAAAATGTGATGGAGAGGGACACAAAGCAGTGGAAAAATACAAACAGCATCATACTGAGGGGAAAGGGATATGTATCAGGATTAACTGATGATGTTGCATAGAAAAAGGTTAGTAATGAAGAAAGAAGACAGAGTCTGAATAGGTTGGGAAGCAAGAAATAAGTCAGGTCAGAGAGATTTTCAGGACTGCCATCTTTGCAAGGCAAATCAAGACCTAACTTTATGCAGCCCAGGAAACAGTATTGGAAACCTAAGCAAAACTAAAAATCCAAGCACTCTATAGCATTGTGCCCATTTTTTAAAAAGTGGCTTGATGTAATCATGTTCAGAAGAGCACACTCAGATTAGTAAATACCTTTTTTAGTCTTCTGCTTCATCTAGACAGCTCCTTTGTAATATTCCTGACTGTTAATTCTGTATTTTATTTTGTAGTCCTTTCCCCCACCCTGACTTTTAAAATAAAGTGAAAAAGGAAATATGGTTATCATCTTTTTAAAGAAATAATATACCAGTACTTGACTTTATGTAATTTAATCATAGTATTTTCTAGTCTTTAAAATCAATCACCTTCTGAATTCAAATACATGGAAAAAAGATTCACCAAGAGCACACATGATTTCAAATCCATTTGTTCTTCATGTTAGCAGTGTTAAAAGAGGCATTTCCAGCTAGCCTATACTTGTTTTAAATGTCATGAGTGACAGGCTTTTTCCTTAGAGGAAATATCTTCATCTGCCATCATCTGAGTCAATATTGTTGCAAGGGACATTTGATCAGACTAATAAAACACCGAATTTTTCAACTTGGAAAAACAAAAGACTAGTGAAGTATCCTGATATCATTTTTCATGAGGCCACAAGAAAAATTCTGCAGACAGAACAGCTGTATTCTCTTTTGGCTTTAGAAAAAACACACACAAAAGGATCAGCAAGTCGTTTTTACCAGGAATCCATCAGGAAGCCCAAGGTGGTCCGATTCAACTTCCCTCACCTTCCACCACCTCACTTTGCTTCTTTTTCTTGTCAGAGGACTGCACAGTCATTGCCCTGGAAGGCCAGGGCCTCTGTGGTATGGATCTAGCCTTCCCTTTACTTCCCCCACCTTCCATTATCAACCCGACTAGCAGGAGTGTTGTCTGCTCTGATCATCCCACCCCTGAGCAATTATTCCACAGGAAAGTGACTTTCAAACTTCTCTTAGAAGGGTTCACAATAAAATTTTTTTTTTAATCTTAACTCAGAATATAAGCAAACTCAAAATAACTAAAAAAAAAAATTTCAAGAGATCATACTTGGACAATCTGTGACACACTTTTTCTTCTGCTTTACCTATTTCTGTTTTTAAAAGACTCACCAAATCAATCTGGATCACCCAGAATTTAATAATCGGTCAGAGACCTCAGTTTGAACAAAGCTGCTTTCATCCATGCAAGAGGAGCCATGTGAAGGGGGAGAGTCAGGTCACAGGGAAAGAGGCTCAGAGCTGCAGCAGGTGAGGATCCCTGAGGCACTGCCCAGAGCCACAGCTGAGATTCAGTGAGCATCACCCCCCACAGCCCCCACACATTCCTCAGAGTAAGAAGTGACACTCCTGACTTGAAGAACCATTGAATTATAGTAATGACCAAGTCTCAAGATCTAAAGTCCCAGATAAAAAAAAAATCATTCAATTGTTCATTCATCATGCAGTCATTGAAAACAAGTTAATTGAGCACCTACCACGTATCTGGAAAATGGAGGCTGAGGGGTCATTTTCACATGATACACCACATTCTGACCTCTTTGTACTTAGGTGTATAACTACATACTGAATCTTACCAGGTACCAGGAGGTAGACATAAATTAGGGAACAAGAAGTGTCCCCCCACTTTTGCAGGAGAATTATGTGTTCCATAGAACCATGGATTTTATTTTTAGTCAATGGTTCTTGACCAAGTTTTAATTTTTGAGCCCCAGGGACATTTGGCAGTATAAAGAAACATTTTGGGGGCATACCTGAGGCTTATTACCAGCATCTAGTAGGTAGAGGTACGGGATGCTACTAATCACCTACAGTATACAGGACAGCAAAGAATTATCTCACCCAAAATATCAATAGTGCTGAGGTTAAGAAACCTCTGTTTAGCCCTTTTCTTTATGATCAGTGCACATTTTGTGAGATCATGAGATGAGATTCAGGTGGTTCAGTGACTATGAATAGTATTTTCTTCCTGGGGATGCTAAGTGACTTACTCCTGGTTATAAACAAATTTTTTAAATTGCAGCAGTAGGAGGTAATGGGGAGGAAAGCAAAAATTAACTGAGCACCTCTGTGCATGGAGGACAGTACCCAGGGGTGTGTGGGTCAGAGTGTGAGTATTGGTGGGCGCAGGAGAAACAGCAGGGCAGGATGTACAGGGCTTAGTTCGCCAGAAACATTTCTTACTCTGACACTGTGAACCTTATTTACAATCAAATCCACAAACTGATTAACCAAAAAAGATTTAATGGAAATCTAGTCACATTCACCATTTTCAAAAAGCAACTGAATCCTTAAATACACATTAAACTTTAAAAATTAGTCAAAGAAAATGAGTTCAAGCAGATCTAAAAGCATTTCAAGACAATAAAAGCAAGATATCAACATTCACGATACCCAACACACTTCAGTAGGTAAAAAAGTTACCTTAAATGGTAATATACAGCATTAGGTGCTGCTTTAGTCAGCTTTTCCACTGCTGTGACTGACAGAACCAACCAGAACAGCTGTAGAGGAGGAAAGTTTGTTTAGGGACTCACGGTCTCAGAGGTCTCAATCCATAGACAGTAGGCTCCACTCCTCAGGGCTGAACATCATGGCGGAAGAGCGTGGTGGAGAGAAGCAGCTCATATGATGATCAGAAGCAGAGAGAGAGACTCCATTCTCCAGATACAAAATATATACCCTATAGCCACACCCCCAATGAACCACTTCCTCGAGCCACACCCCACCTGCCTCCAGTTACCACTCAATTAATCCCACCAGGGATTAATTCACTGATTAGATTAAGGCTATAACCCAATCATTTCTCCTCCAAACCTTCTTCATTGTCTCACACATGAGCTTTTGGGGGACCCCCTCATTTAAATCATAACAGGTGCAATGTATTAATCTCTGAACCAGGACCTTATAAGTAACTGAACTTTACATTCCTCAAGTTTTTCACATTATGGGAAAAAATAGAGACTCCATCACTTAGTATCCCTGAATTGTCAGCAAGAAAAGGATGCTACGTTCAAAAATTGCACCCAGGGGCTGGGGCTGTAGCTCAGCAGCAGAGCGCTTGCCAAGCATGCGTGAGGCACTGGGTTCAATCCCCAGCACCACATAAAAATAAACAAATAAAATAAAGGAATTCTGTCCATCTACTATTACAAAAATTTTTTTAAAAAAAACAGTTGCATTCAGAATCTATCTAGAACAACTCTTATGATCAGTCTTTCAAGGAAATTAGATTTTCAGTTTCATTTAGAAAAATAAAGTGACTTCTGATTTTTAGGCATAGCATTTTGTCTTTTTTTAATCCTTTGGGATCTAAGGAGTATTCTTGCTCTTTTAGAAGCAGTGGCTGGAGAACAGCTCTCTGGGTGGCCTTGGATTGACTCAGGTTTCCCTCTTTGCTTGTTTTCAGTCCTCAACAATGACTGTAAAATGTGCAACATTTTGTGATAATGAAGAACCAGCTGGAACAGCTTGGGCTCTGTCTCTGACCCACCTGAAACAGGATGTCCTGTAACACATCAGCCTAGAGATTCCTGTTACTCTGGGATGTAAACCCCAGGGCAGGCTACTTTTCAGGGACCCTCACCTGCATGCAGTTGGGTCACACACAGAGAGACAAGATCCCATCTGCCTAGGGTAGCTTCTATGCACCTATTAGGGCCAGAGCACCATGAATCCTAAGCATCTGTTGACCCTTGCTGCCTATTTGCATGATATTAAAGCTGCTTCAGCTTCATAAAATGTGTATGTGTTCTGTTGCTCCAGATTAGTGCAAGTGATAGAAATTGGCATAACCCACAGCATAGTGGGAGAGGTGACTGGAGTTCCTTACTAGGATTGATATCAGTGCACAGGAAGCCTTCTTCACAGGGGCTCAAACATTGAGTGGGAGTACAGAGGTGTTCTCAAAAGTATTCTTTCAACCTTGGATTCTACAATTCTTGAGTAGAAAGTGACATTTCTACTAAAGTAAATAATTTTCCCCTGCATTTCTTCCCTGGAAACATCTGCCTCACCCCTGAAAAATGACCCAACATTTCAACTGCATGTGTCCTTATTGAATACATCAAACTCTCCCTTAAATCCCACTATTTGGGAAGGCAAGTGTTATATTTAAATCCCGAGTACATTTCTTGGCATTAGAAATACATAATACAGTATTGTGAATATGAGGCCTGTTTATGGCATTGCTTCTCTGAGGACAAGTTTCGAGATCAGTTGACAATTACTATTCCTCATCTGGCCTCAGGGTCTCTGACAAAGGAGCACAGAGCAGAAAGCAATTATAAGAAGCAGGCAGAATGTCAGCAAAGTGGCATAATGTGGCACCTTGAGAATCACCAAGGAGAAGGATTAAGGAAAATCATCCAAAGTAATTATCCCAAAGACCAGTGGGGATGAGACAAATCTCCTACTAGTTCTCAAGATGCATCCTTATGTTACTCAACCCAGGAGGACTAAAGGAATGTTTTGCCTGAATAATTTGACAGAATAAAGAATACAGTTCAGAAAATCTGCAATTAAATGTGCACCTGCAAGTTCGCTCCAGCCTGTTGTGCTTCTATCTCACTTCCTTTCTAATGTGCCATCTCCCTCCCTCTCTCCCCTCATTCTCCCTATACGTACATATAGAAATGAATTTGTTTTCAAGTTTGTGTTCCAAAACTAATTCCATTGAATGGTATTGAGTTCTGAAGTCATTAAAAACTAAAGTCATTTTAAAAAATGTTAGACCGGGATGTAGCTCAGTGGTAAAGCATTTGCCTAACATGTGCAAGGACTTGGGTTTGATCCCCAGCACCATGAAAAAAAAATGTGAAAAGATGGTATTTTAGAATGAAGTCAAGAGTCTTTCACTCGAGAGACTTCAGAGTGATGACTCCTGGTTAGGAAACACACTCCATTGCTTGCTTGTTCTTCTCTCTTAACTCCTTAGCTATACAGTATTTGAAACTTTGAGGACAGAGCCTGAATGCTCTGTCTCTTCCACACTCAATTGCTTAGCCAATCCCCAACAGATTTCCTCTGTTTTTTTCCTATCTAGTGAGTCTTGGAATTAACATATTCCCAGCTGCTAAAAATCATTGCTAGGCTTTCATGGAACTCCATAGTTAAAGATTCCACTCCAGACCATAGCACTAGAAATGTGTCTACAGAATAATCTTGCTTAGGAATTTCAAGACTGAATTAACTATCTTTCATTTGCATTGATGACTGAGACCTTGAAAATGATTGGACCTCAGTCTGAACATACCTAACTATCAGTCAGTTCCTGGTTCTTGAGATGAAGTCACCTCTCTGCATGTTCTGTAGCCCTGTTCTGCAGCATGTTTGGTGAGATTAGTCTACCCACTGCCAGTTGGATCTCCTGACTGGGTTTTTCTGGTGGTAGAACCTCGACAGCAAAATATAAACTTTGGCCAAAATTGGCTCCTTTCCATCACCCAATGGGCTTCCTTTCTCACAATCCAAATATGTATGCTTTGACAAAGCAAGTTCGTTTTTATATTAGGCTAATAGAAACATAATTACAAAGCTAAGTGTGCAAGTGAGAAAATCATGGTGCCTATCAAAGTCAAGAAAAAAAAATTGAGATTTTCAGTTCTCCCACTTCTAAGGACAACTCTATAATACTTGAGAAGTCAGCATTTCCCATTTGAGTAGACAAGACAGGGTCAAGTTGACGGATGCACAGCCCTGCAGCATTGCTCCCCAGCAATTTTTTAAGAATAGCCTAGCCTCTCTGAAGAATGATTCCCAATGAAAACCCAGAAGCTTGTCATGAGTGTTAGGGTCATTTCTTCCCATAGCCCCACTGTATATCCTGAGTGAGTTTCTCACTTCACAGGCCATTTTTATGGCCATAATTCTTGCAGCTAGGTGAATGGCAGCCTCCCTGAAAGGCATTTATACACTGTTACTCTGTTGCACTGTGCACAGCTTGAAACACAACTAATAAATTTCCTGTAAATTTTTCTCATCCCCTTTAAGCTTTAACTTTCTCAAGATGTGTGTGGTGCTGCTGAGCTGTCAAAGAAGCTGTCCCTGGAAAGCCTCTCATTTGTCTTTTAGTGCCAGTTCTTAAAAAGTCACAAAGCAAAACAAATTACCCCCATAAAATTATAATGGTGAACAGCAAAATTCATAGCAGCCCTCCTCCGGGAACGCAGCTGCCACAATTCATGCCTGCCCACACCCGTTAAGCACCCATCTCCTCTGCACTCAAGGAGGGGTGGGCTCCAGGGAGTAGCCTCCACGACTTTGAAGGGTGGTGTGCCCACTTGGCCACTTACCCATTCCACCCCAGACCGCTTCTGCCCTCACCATACCACCAAAACTGCTCCTGCCCAGGTCATCAGTGTCAACCTAGAGGTTGTATAATCCTACAGGCAAATTTCAACTATTATTTTTTCTGACCCCTAGAGAGAACTTGCCACTCTTCATTATTCCTTTTCTCCTGTGAGAAAAATATCTTCATCACTTGGGTTCCAAAATCTCTCCCCCTGGATCCGGTTTTCCTTTCTGGCTGTTTCTATTTCTCCAGCCTCTTAGACTATTAACCCTTCTCTCTTTTACACTCTTTACTGTCTTTATTCAACATCCCCTCTCTCTATACACAGGTTCCTCTGTCTGTGCCTCTGTCTCTGTATCCCTTTCTCCTTTCCATCTGGAGAGTTCCACTTATCTTTAAATCTCAATGGAAGTAGCCTTGCTTCCAAGAGGTCCTCCCAGATACTTGAGACCAGAATCATTATCTTTGCTCTACATGCCCAGAGCCCACTGGATGTGCCTAGGTATTAGCTAGAGACCACAGGGGTGGGAGAAGAGGGAGGGGGAAAGCGTTGGCTGTAAAGGGGCCCTTGCCCGGCAATTGGTCCAGAGGAGTCAAAACACACCATGGGATGCTGTGAGAACATAAATTCCCTCCTCCCCTGTGTGAATGGGACTATGGAAGAAATCCACCTTACAAAGGTGGGCAGACTACTCAGAGACACCGAATGACACTGCCAATCTTCTTCCACCTTCCAGAAGGAGGCCGAGCACTCTCTCTCATAGACTTACAGACACACATTACGTCCCTAAAGTCACCCCTGTGCCCACAAGCTACTCTGAGGGTCAGCTGAGCATTGTATGACCTTCAGCCAGTGGCACTGGGCCAGAAAGGGCAAAGTGATCTGGATGCACAGGTGCATGCCCTCAGTTTTTACATAACACAGGCAAACAGGCGACAGCTGCTCAAGCACCCAAGTGTCAGGTCCAAAGAGGATGGCTACCTGCCACTCCAAGGTTTTATGCCTCTTCAAATGCCCACCCCATTTCCTAACCAAAGCCTAATCACTTGGAGCATCTTGGCCCCCCATCAATCCACTGACCCTCTATCCGGGGTGTATCTCACTTGCTCTTGCCCTTCCCTCCTCTTGCAATAAACCTGATCTAAATGTTACCTTTGCCATGTTGTGCTTTTTGTTTCTGCACTGGAGAAATTGTCCTAATCTT